GTGCATGCATATGGTGTATACAGGTAAGTAAACATGCAAGTTTTTCACATTCTAAAACTATGGCAGTTTAGGCCATATTGTGCTGCCTGCATTTAATCTGTAATGCAGTGTGTCTTAAACGTTTCAATCCCGTATTAATAGGTGGCATTACACATAACACCTATATAGCAGCAAAGCTAATACAGCTTGTGATTAAAAATGTTTAAAAATAGCTAATAAATCAGATTATCTTGAGGTATTATTTCTTGCAAGTCAAAATGGAGAGCAAAAAATCAACCCTAACTTTTAGTTTATGTATACACTGAAAATAGCAACAACAATAAAAATAAGCTTTTTGTAGCAGACATATTCCATCTTCACTATTTTGCTACCTTTGGTAAATTACTGGGGCAGATCTTGAAGTTAAAAACCCATGTTTAGAAATAAGTGCACGCTTCACCCACTAAATATAGCAGCAGACTGTGTGCCCCTACGCAAAAACATTCTCATATCTAGTTTTAACTTTACATATAAAAATAACTTGGAGAAAATACAAAAAAACATTTTATTTTAACATGAAAATATCACAAAAATTAGTAAGCCTGAGATGTAGGGTTTTGGTGAAAAACAAGAGGCTTGTAGTGTTTTGGCTGCTGATAAAGATGCATGTATTGATAGCTGGGGTGAAAAGCAGAAGAATGCACTTATTTCTTCTGCATGTCAGTATCTTCAAACACAGTAAGCCACATGCACCCTTCTTTCCTTCTGTAGATGCTGGTTCGCCATGTTTAATTCCAGCGGAAGTGGATCTGACGTGGGCGGTCAGCCCCCTCCTTTACCAATGGCTTATGGAATTCACGTCCTGCACGAGAGTGGATATTTGCCCAACAAAACTCACAGTAATACTGCAGGCAAGTGACATTGGCACAAAAGAAAGGAGCAAACTTCCCACCGCATCGCGCGCCCTGGCATTCGTCGCACATCTGGTCGTCCAACACGTATGGCTTTACCTCCACCTGTTGGAGCAGAACAGACGCCATTCGAGTTAGCACCTACTCCTCCTTCAAGCTGCGTGAAGGCCATCAGGTTTTTCTGGCTTGAAATAAGCCCCCAGAAATCTGAAATCAGACATACTAACGCCTTTGTCTAACTCATCAGTTATTACCGTTCTACAGATCTTACCAGCTACGGACCTACCCGTGCAGTAAGCAGGACACCTCAAGGCAGCTCTTCAGAAGTACCCTACGTAGGTAATGAACGTCAGAACCTCCCCTCAATCTGCTGTGGAAAGACGTGCTTGGCAGATGGTAATGCTGAAGTATGTGTAGAACAAGAGAACAAGCCCAAAGGTCTCCCTGTCTCATCAGCTCCTGCCTGTACCCCAACTTGACACTGAATTCTATACTGTTTAGCAAAAAAATCATCAAACATACAAGAATGTAACCATTTTTACATTATTAACCTTTTTTAAAAAACACTAAGTCTCTGCATGTACTACTTCTGTGGGCAAATTAGAAATACTTTCTGCAGGCTGGCATAGAGATCTTTCCGTTCCCTGGAAACTCATTCCCTGTTTCCAATAAATGGTCAAATTCGGAGCTACAGACTTGTGGCTTTGATAAATGGTCAAATTCGGAGCTACAGATTTTGGTCATCTATTACTTGTGGCTTTGGGCTGTCCAGAAATTCGTATTCAGTGTATTTCTGAGAATATTTTTACAAGACCATTTTGCAAGTTGCAGACTGCTAGAAACACCTGTCTCACACAGCTTCTTTCTCCCAAACTCACTGGACTGCCGGAGTGGAAAAGTGGCAGGAGTCCAGCGGGTAAATGCGCAATCCATCTTTGCGGAACTGAACTGTTGCAGACTGCGATCAGACAGGAAGGAGAACTTCATAATAAGACACAAAATGAATTGACCCTATCATTAAGGAATGTATTGTTGTCTTCCACATTTTCCTCACTTCTGAAGACGGTATTTTCTGCCTTTTGTTGCCAGAGTTATTCCAGTTCATACTAAAACTCTGCTGTAAAGGACTTTTTTCTGAGATCACCCGAGAAGAACACTAGACACTGGCTTCATGAACTACACTCGGCAGACGTCTGAAAGAAGGAGGTATTTTTTCCATTGTGCCTCCAGAGACACCATTTCCATTGTGACTCCAGGGATTTACGCATACAGCTGCCCACCCAAAAGTTTCACAGGAAAATAGTCCTCATTTTCTTAGCTCCAGAAGTAGAGGTCATACTTGACACGTCACACGCACCTACGTTTGAAGCAGAGTATGCTGCTTCCAGTCATCTCTGGGCAGAACAAGCTCTGCTTCTTATCTCACCACAGTGACCTGCCTTATCAGGAGCTGCACTCCCACGTGCCCATACAGCTACCTTCTGCAGCAAGCGTGCCCGTGGGTCACAACTACGGAGAGCACGAGGCTGCGTGGATTTCAAGCTTCGGTGCCTTAACGCACCAAGATCGGCACAAAGATGTTTTCAAATGTGTTAGAGAAGCACTCTGGGGAATGGCAGTATTCCATGAAGTGGATGCAGACTGAGGGCATATGAAAGTTAACAACATTTTAAGGAACAGTTTGGAGCTGAAACTCCAAACGAGTTTAAAGGAAATGTCTGGAGCTGAGCTTTCGTATATGATAAAACAGGATGAAGAGCATTTCACTGAAGGAAAACATCTGTTAGAGAAACTAAACATATCTACACATCAAAAGGCCTGGAGAGAAGCTGCAGAGTACTTAGGTAAGGAAGAATTTAAGATGACAGAAACGTTTGTTAAGCAACCATGACACTAAGATTTCCAATTAAGGTAGGAAAAGGTATGCGCAAAAAAAAATGCTATGAATACTTTGAACTAAAGGAAGGATAAACAGGTGAACTGCAAAATTTAGCAATGAAAAAAGACTTTTAGACATACAAAACTGGTTGTGAAAAGAATGTGAAAGGACAGCAGACCTATAAAAACTGGATGTAACTGGTACAGAAGGGCTATGCTAAGGTGGAGGGTAGGAGACCAGCCTGGCTGTAAGATTTCAGTGAAATGTGTAATACACCTCTGTTTTGGCCAGGGTACATACGCATCTCAGATGAAGGCAGTACCTGAATTAGGATTATCTTCCTCATTTACAAAAACAGTAGTTTACAGATTCATATAAATTACTTGTCTATAAATCAGCAGTAATACTGATTTCAGAGTATTTCTGAAAAAAGGTTTTTTCATGCTTTCAAAACCAGCTAAGAGTTAAAGTGTCCCCTAAAAAGAGGCTGTTCTCTATTACTTCTCAGTGACACAAATAACAAGGTTGTACAAATATATATTTATACATAAATAATAAGGACTGACCATATGATTTTATTAGAGAAGATGATTTAAAAAATCAAGATTAAAAGCCCTCTGAAATAAACGAAAAGGTTCATAAACTTTCCCCATCACAAGGTTTAAAGAGGAATTTATTAAAACAGATTTGGCATTGCTGCATTTTGCAAGTGAAGCACCTCAGAACTAGATGTTTCCCCATTTTAAAAATAAGAAAAACCAGGTTGATAAAAATGCCCCAAATTCCAGATTTAAGAGAATACTTGGGTGAAAAAAAAAGTCAAGATCTAGAAAAGCAACACTAAAGAAAGAACACAAATTGTAACAACTAAAGAGAAACTCCAAGAATTCAGATATTTAAAGACAAAGCCTAGAAGCCCCTTCCCTCTCCCCACCAACCTCTCCAGCCCATGAACACCTACCTACAGATACTCATTATGCTTGTTTCTTTTTCTTTTTTTTTGGTAACAGTGATTAAAGAAATCATGTGACTACTGTTTTTCTAAATTAAGTCTCATGAATATAATTCAAATGCTGTGTTTCTGAAATCTAGTATTTGGGGTAGATTTTGTGGGTTTTTTTTCCCAGTGTAAGCTCCAAGAGGCCCACAGCACACATCCACTGTTATACTGGAGATTTACTGCCCTTCCCCCTTTAAGTATTTCAGTCTTAGATCACACATTAACAAGTTACACCCCTTTCTCTGCAAAATGCCAAGCACTGCTGTTTCAGATGCCTGCTCGGCATCCAAAGAGCCCTTAAAATCTCTGGTGACCTATCATTAAAAAACCAAATCAAGACACCAACCTACTTAGGAGCTCATGCTTTCCTTTCTCTTATGAGATGGCACTGCCACCCTACCATATACTCCTCTACTGCAAAGACAACTCCCATGGGAAGAGGAAGACTAAGATGTGTGTCCCTGAGTTTACAGCGTTCAAGTCCATGGTTCCAACCTTTGAAGGAGAACTGGATTGGATGGGACTCAATTGTCCACCTCTAATTTTAAAGTTAGGTTACTTCACAGTCAACTGTTGGCCGACAGTTCCTAAAACACCCTCAGCTATATTCTATACCTGATTTTGAAGATAAATGACCACTTTAGCATTTCTTTAGGAGGAGTTCTGGGTTCTGGTCCTTACTCCCATTTTATCCAAACATTCAAATGCAAGATGATTAATAGTTTTATCTCCCCTCACACAGTCACAGCGTCAAGGCCATTTTTCGTTATGCAATTAGCCAAACGGTAGAGCTATCAGTCAAATTCAGCTGCAAGATGCAAGGACAGCAATCCTGCCAGCAAAACGCAGCCATCACATCTCAGTGTGAAGCCTGGTTCACTACCCACATTCAGACCCACTCACCCTCTGGAAAGGACCATGTTTGGGGATTTTAGCTCCCTAGGCAGCTGGTAGCTGAGAGACAGATGTGAAGCTGTATCACTCTGCCCATTTGAAAGGAGAGAAGCGCCTGCTACATCCCTGCAGCAGACTTTTGTTAACTGCACTACTTTATTTTTTCCGTGTCTTTGATCTGCAGAGATTGGACCTTGAACTACTTCCTCTAAGACTTTTTTTTTTTAAAAAAGAACATCTATTAATACCAGTGACTATCTCTGCGGCTCTTGACATCAAAACTAGTGACACTTAAAAACTGACATAATTTAGATGCCAGTTTTCTTTGCTACTCTTGCACTTCTAATTAGGAGTAATGAAGTTGACTAGTCTTCTTTATGAAAGTCTAGCCATAAGCATCCGTAGCAACCAGAAATATACACTGGGAAATATTCAGAAGTCTCTCTCAAACAGAAAGAATAAGAAATTTTGCATTTTAGGTGTTGAGCTTGATTGATTTTCTGAAGTGCTGACAATTATGGCTGAAATTAAGGGCAGCTGCTTTCACATAGCTAATCTGAAACCAACGAATACTAGAGCTTCCTATGAATGACAGAGGAATTATCACAGTATTTGGTTTCATTAGAACAAGGGAGAGAAAAAGATTTTCAAGCCCTTTGCCCATACACGGCAAAAACAGGAACTCCAGAATGGAAAGAACATATGGTCTAACATATGTCTAAGAACAAATCGCTGCTTTGTGGAATGCATGTTGTTTGTCTGGGTGCGTTCATGGTTCAACTCATGGAACTGGTGGAGTTAGAGGAATACTAAAGGAAGTGTAGAAGCTGGCATGAAAGCCAATCCAATGCAATGTTACCACACCCTGAGAAGTTCTTTTACACATCATCACTCTCATATTTCTCAGTTTTTTTAAGTTTCCGTGTAACTTACTCGTTTATCAATATCGCCATGCTGAAGTTGAACAAACCGAGCACTGATGGCAGCAATATAACTCTGCTGATTGGAGAAAGCAACACGTCCAGCACCTTTTGGGTATTTCAGCTCAGGGTCAGTGTCAATTCCTGCGTAACAAACTCCACCATAGAGACGGTCCATAATCATAGCCAATTCCACTATTAAGAAAGAAAAAGAATGTTCATTTAAATCGTTCTTACGGTGCAAACTTTGTGTAATATGCTCATATTTTAAAATATTAGAGAAGTTAAGTTTAACAATTAATTTTGCAACATGCTCTGCTGATATAACAGTAGTAACAAGAAATATAAAGACATATTTAATAAGCTGTGAAATACTCAGTAGACAGATCTTTCACTCTGTGGGTACTGACATCCAAGGAACAATGGAATTGTAATTCCTTGCAGTCCTTCATAACCTGGAACTGAAATTCCAGGGCAGTTTTCTTCAGGGGATTACAGCGAAAGACTTTTTGGGCAGGCATGGGATATGGTTTAGTGGTGGACAGATACGGTTGGACTGGATGATCTCTAAGGTCTTTTCCAATCTAGTGATTCTATGATTCTATGATTACAGCGAAAGACTTTTTGGTCAGGCATGGAATGTAAGCTGTATAAAATAGATCCACATGCCACAAATTCCTTGGTACATGTTCTCTGGCTGTCCTAATGCTCTATGCCCCACTTGACTTTAAAGACGCAGTTAGCATCTTTTCATGAGTCACACAGAGCTTGATTATCTCTGCAGTGCTACACTTAACACAGATACTGACGTTCACAGGAACTAAAATCCCAGATTTACAGATCAAGTACTTTACCAATCCTCTAGTAATATTTTATACTGTATTCAGTTTTGAAATTCATTTAGGATGGAAATGCTGATTTTTTAGGCATTAGTATCTTCTGTATTAGGGAATAAAGGTGTCAGCAGTCACTGGTTTTCAACAGTTGCTTGAAAAGTCTCCTAAAGTTTTACTGCTTTGTGAAGGCACGATTCTTATTTCACAATGCCATGAAAGTTTCATTTTCACATGTACAGGGCAATTGAAAGCTAAGCATAAGAATGCATCCATTAAATTTATCACTGATACTCAACAAAATAATCTAGAGCATTTGGACTGAATTAAAAAAAAATAATCTGCAGTTGGAACATACTATGTTTATGCTCATTCACAGACCTTGTACTATAGTCAAAAGTACAGTTTAAAGTAAAATAACAGAAAAGCTCGAGCACTGCAGGTCCAAGATAGAAAAATGTAAGATTCCTTACACCCCAAATTGGCACAATCGCTTCTTGGTTCTCCTACATCTTCCATCTGAATGCTCATCTTTCTGTAAGAATAAAATTCACTACAAACTGTGGAAGATTAATGAAGTCCAGGGAGCCATTCTAATAGAAAATGGGATTTGAGCCACTGTACATTAAGCTTCTACTTCCAACATTCACTTCAACCTACTTACTAGAAGGCCACCATGAAATATTGAAAAAAGCTGCTGCAGTCAATCTCACAAAGCATACTGTCCGGGTTGTAGATCAACCATTCTACAGCCACAGAAACATTTATTTTTTCCTTCATGCACTCCGACAAGAGTCTAGAAATAGTCCTGCAATCTCAAATAGAGGTGTGCCATACAGACTGTGCTAGCTCTCTGAATTTCTTCTTTTTAAACTCTATTCCTACTCCTTCAAGTATTCATTACCTGTGTTTTTGCTTTGTCTTGCTTAGCAAGAGTAATTGCATCCTGACAGTAGTAGAAGAGTAACTAATGCAAAACAAGCAAAACCAAACAGAGCTCCAAATATTCACGGAGAATGGCAGAGAGGTTTTTACAGCATTATTTTTAAAAGAGACTCTCTTTTTTCACAGAATCATAGAATGG